TACTTTTCCCAGATCTCATCTTCCCGTTTTCAGGATGACTCCTCCCTCGAAAGGTACTGTCACAATACACATACTAGCAGGATCTCCTTGTTACGCAACACCTGTACCCTCCTATCCAGTATTTGAACTAGCCATTCAATGAGGGTTAGGTCATCCCTAATCGGTATAGGCTCATATCTCAGAACATGGGATGGGTTGGGCTGATACCTTCGTAATAAAGATAGATGAAAGACATTATGGATGTTTGCCAACCCGGGCAGTAAGGCAAATCGATATACCACACATCCGATCCTATCCAATATCTCAAAGGGTCTGATATAGCGTGGGTACAATTTTCCTTTCTTGTCGAACCTCATGATGCCCTTTGTTGGTGACACCCTTAGGAAACCCTATTACCCACCTCAAACTCTGGTCTCTCCTTCGGTTATCAGTGTAACTCTTTTGCTGACTTTAAGCTATCTTGAGCCTCTCTCGAATCAATGCTATCCTATCAGAGGTCACCTGGATGATTTCTGGCCCCAAAAGCCTTCTTTCACCAATCTCGTCCCAACAAATGGGTAACCTTCCTTCCATACAAGACTTCAAATGGTGCTATCTGAATACTGGCTTGAAAACTGTTATTATCAGAAAACTTAATCAAGGGTAAATGGTCATCCCAACTTCTCATAAAGTTCGTGACACAAGCCCTTCGCATATCTTCCAAGGTCTGGATGGTCCTCTCTGATTGTCCATCAGTCTGGGAGTGAAAGGCAGTGTTATAGGTAAGTCTCGTCCCGAGGGGTGATAGCATACTAGCCCAAAATCTAGAGGTAAAACAAGTGCTCCTGTCAGTCACAATGCTAACCGAAACACCAAATAACCTCACTATCTCCTTATTGCACAACTGAGCCAGTTGGTCCAAAGTATAAGTCGTGCGAATCGGCAAGAAGTAGGTAGCTTTGGTCAACCGGTCCACAATGACCCAAATGTTGTCTTACCCTGAACTCGCTATGGACAAGACAGAGACAAAATCTATAGAAATGTGCTCCCATTTCTATTTCGGCATCGGTAAGGGCTACAACAACCTAGTGGGCTTCTGATGCTCAGCTTTCACTTGCTGGCATGTTAAACACTTGGACACAAATACTGCCACCTCCCTTTTCATGTCATTCCACCATAAGGTTTTCTTCAGGTCTTGGTACATCTTAGTACTTTCGAGATGTATAGTATAACAAGAGTGGTGTGCCTCTTCCAAGTTAGCTTCTTCACACCCTCATCATTCAGGACGCACACTCGATCTTTGAATCGCAACAATTCATCACCGCTCATAGAGAACTCGTCTCTCTTTCCCAACTTCATCTCTTCCACCATCTTCATGAGTTGAGGGTCCTTCTTTTGTGCCAACCGATCCTACTGAATTAGTTGGGGTTCCATCCTTATGCAAGCATTCATACCCACAACACTATTAAGGGGAGGAGCTGGATGTCAATCCACTATATCTTTTAACAACTTTATCTCTCAAATCATTAGATGGGCCACTGATGCCACGGGCTTCCTACTCAGAGCGTCTGCTACCACATTAGTCTTGCCCGAGTGATATTGGATGAAACAATCGTAATCACTCAAAAGGTCCATCCATATCCTTTGCCTCATGTTCAACTCCTTTTGGGAGAAAAAATACTTGAGGCACTTATTGTTCGTTAACGCCTTAAATTTGGCTCCATGGAGCCTATCTAGATTTTTAGGGTAAAAACTATAGCCGCAAGCTCCAAATCAAGGGTTGGATAATTCTGCTTATACGGCTTCTGCTGTTTGGAGGTATATCAAATGACCTTCCCTCATTGCATCAGTACACATCAGAGCCCTTTGTAAGAGGCATCGGTGTAACTACAAGGTCCTCATATCCTTCGAGTAAGGTCAGTATCGGAGCTGTGGTCAACCTCTTCTTCTATTCTTGGAAGCTCTTCTCACAGTCATCTGACCACACAAACTTCACATCCTTCTAGGTCAGTAGAGTTAGAGGAAGCGCTATCTTTGAAAATCCTTCTAAAATATGCCTGTAATACTCTGCTAACCCCAAAAAGGGTCAACTGCGACACTATCCTTAGTAACAATGTGCCCAAGAAAGTCCACGTTATGAAGCCAGAACTCACACTTGCTCAACAAGGCATACATCTTTTCTAACCTTAGAGTCTGAAGGACTACTCTCAGGTGTTGCTCATGCTCCTCTTGGCTCTTTGAATATACCAAAATATCGTCAATGAAGGCCACTACAAATCTATCCAAGAAGGGTCTGAATATCATATTCACCAGGTCCATGAAAACAGCCAAGGCATTGGTCAAACCGAACAGCATCACTAAAAATTCATAGTGACCATATCGGTTTCTAAATGCGGTATTGGGAACATTTCCCTCCTTGAAACGCAATTGATGATAACCCGTTCAAAGATCAATCTTAGAGAATACTTGAGCCTCTTGAAGCTAGTCAAAGAGGTCATCAATCTTAGGCAGAGGGTACTTGTTTTTCACTGTTATTGATTCAACTGCCTATAATCGATAAAAAGGAGACACACTCGGTTTAATGAACCCCTTCTTTAACAACTCCTACAATTGCACGTTCCACTCCTTCAATTCTGCAAGTGTCGTCCGATATGGGGCCTTGGAGATGGGAGCAGTGCCAGAGGCCAAGTACATCTTAAACTCTTTCTCCCTGACTGGGGGCAAAGAGGACAACTCTTGCTACTGAGACCTCCTCTAGCCTTGACTAGATGTCTCGATTTTCTACCACATAGTTTAAGTACCCGATGCATTTCTAGTCAGAAGACAATGAGCTCGAAGGGCTGAAATAAAGTGCATAAGGGTAGCATTTTTTATACCAACAAAGTGCAGCTCAGGCTGGGTAGGGGGTCTAAAGATCATATTTTTATCATAGCAGTCAACGGTGGCATGGTGTGTGGATAATAGATCAAAACAATGAGGCATGTATATGTCAAGCATAATCAATATCAAGACATACTAACTAACTAACTAAATAACTCCTGAAGTAGAAGCCCCACGCATCAGGCCAATCAAATCCCGATGCCTCTACCATTCCATCAGGAGGGAAGCACCACTAACGGGTCACTCCGTTGCGTAGTGTCTCACACACATACACAGTCCCCAGAGCGGTGGATCGAATTTTGATTGGCAGGAGCCCTGTAAGACACGACCCTCTCATGTGCCTTTCTGGAGATAGATAATTACACTACCAAAGGGGTCCCAATGAGTAGTGCCTCACATAGATTTTGAGGGGTACGACCCTCCTAAACACACACACTCCTAACTCTCATCATATTATAGAGAGTTAGGGAAAGATCACAACTGTCGGCACATATATCTCCTCATATCATAGCAGGGGCATGTCTCCATGTGCTCATAGCATATCACGAGCATGTTACCATGCACACATATCTCATCAGTAGCAGGTTGCCATACACACATATCTCATTAGTAACATATTTCCTTGCACACATATCACATCAGTTACATGTTGCCATGCACACATATCTCATCAGTAGCATGTTGCCATGCACATTTATCTCATCAGTAGCATATTACTATGCACATATATCTCATCAGTAGCATGTTGTCATGCACACATATCTCATCAGTTGCATGTTTCCCTGCACACATATCTCATCACTAGCATGTTTCCATGCACACACAGCTCATCACAAGCATGTTACCATACATACAAATCACATCAGTAGTATGTTATGCATATATCACAAAAAACATCACTTATATCATATTATCATACTTTTTTGCTCAAGAGATATTATCACGTCAATATCATCCTATATATCAATGCAATAGACATCACCATATCATATGATCATGCTTATCAGCTCAATATCACATCAATATCATGCATTATATCAATGCAGTAGACATTACCATATCATATTATCATGCTTATTAGCTCAAGAGACATTATCATGTCAATATCATGCATTACATCAATGCAATAGACATCACCATGTCATATTATCATACCTATCAACTCAAGAGACATTATCATGTCAATATCATGCTATATCTCAATACAATAGACATCACCATGTCATATTTCTGGTTTTCCAAGATGAACACTTTCCACCTCTAAGGGCATATCATTAAATTTAACAATCATTTAACCTTGCAACTAATTTTATGAAAATTTAGACTCATAAAAAGACAACTTTCATGAAGGGAGTAACCGCAAATATTGGTATAAAGTTTGTCAAACTATTTAATGTTCTCGGATGAAATTTCAGTCTTTCGCAGCAGAAAATCCAGGGTGACACCTTACTGAAAAATTGACCACATCTTTCAAACCATAAGGAATTTTATCATTATTCCAAACCCAATTTTCAATCCGACTAATCTATATATCATTTCAAAGTTGTTTCACCTCATTTGAGTATTGTTTGGTTCATGGAAAGCTTCACACAAAAACATGTTAAATCCTTGGAATTTCATTTTACAAATCTAGCATGCTTCAGCAAATAGTTAATAGTTTCAAATGAAATGATATATTAGCAAGGGGCCTTTTTCATGTTGAAATACATTCAATATACTACTGACCCTCCAAAATTTATGATCTAAGGTAAGGTTTAAGGTACCCTAACGATCTCTCAAATAGGGACCAATTTTCTGAAAAATAAAATGCTCTTTTGAAGAATTTTAGTAGCATGCACCCGCATCCACACTCACACCCATAATCGAATTTCACATTTTGATTAGATAAGGAAACATGCCTTAACATAAGCATGAAACCATGGATTTATGATGGGGGTGAAAGCATGCATGTTCCACATGGCACTCAAGTGATCATGCATGAAGAGAGAAAAAGCAAGCATGGGGAACACAATGATGGGGGTGGAAGCATGCATTTGCCACATGGCACTCAAGTGATTATGCATGAGAGAGAAAACAAGTACGGGGAACACAATGATGAGGGTGGAAGCATATATGTGGAGAGAGAAAATGTGAGAGGAGAGATACTTTAAACCACCATACAGCACCCACGCTCAACCGCCGCTTCTCCACCCGCACTCTAAGGCGCACCCGTCAATCCGCATCCAGCAGCACTCTCATCCACCTGCGCTCTCAACGTGTGTCGGTCTACTTGCGCTCGACAATGCTCTCATCCACCCGCACTCTCAATAAGCGTTGGTCAATCCGCGTTTGACAGTGCACTTATCCTCTCGCACTGTCAACGTACGTCGGTCTATCCGTACCCAACTGCGTGCTCGTCCATCTGCGCCCCAACGTGCAGTCGTCCATTACTTCGAGAACGTCCTAGACATTATAGGAGCCTGACAGCAAAGGGTTATTTGGCGGTCGCAATGTGCCTTGGAAACCTTCTGAATGCAACAACAACAACAACATCTAATACGTGAGAAGTGAATGTGGAGACTCAAAAAATGACTAGATAGAAGATAACCAATGAACATTGGCTGGAAACCCAAGCAACAGTAACAGTAGGCAAAGGCGCTAAGATCGCAAGAGGCAGAGGCACTAAGATCTTGATCTACGAGTGTTTGGAACAAGCGAGAATAGTAGTAGCTGAAGAATGGCCGGAATCCAGTGAGTTCAAGGGGTTGGAGATGGCCGGAATCCAGTGAGTTCAGCAGGAGATCGTTAGAATCCAATGAGTTCAAGGGGTTGGAGATGGCCAGATTCCAATGAGTTCATAAGAGTAGTATGTTCGAAGTTTTCTGGTGAATAGTGGCCAAATTCAAAGTAGCAATGGCAAATGGATCACATAAGACTCCACGGAGTTTCTATATCAAGAAGCTGCATTAGGGAACTCACGTAGATGTAGCGAGTTTATGTAAATGTTGCATAGACGTTGATCTCATCTTTACTTGATTTATTTCAATGAGGCTACTTTGTTAGGTTCGATATTGAAAATAAGTTGATCGTTTCCCACATTGCATATAGGATTCTAGTAGAGGAGTAACTCAAGGTTCCATTAGATAGACAGGCCCTCAATGATGTACAAATGCATAGATTTCAGAGAGAGAAAGCAAACATCAAAGGGTACATGAACAATCACTGAACAGATCAAGAAGATCTGATGGTTTCATGGCTCAATCAAACGAGTAGGATCATGGAATAACAAAGTAACAAACTCGATCGTACAGGAATGGATATGGTGAAGATGATTCTGGCGCTGATACCATGTGAAGAGTCTCAGGTTTCCCTGAAGAGACTCAATGTCTGTTGATCAATATGAATATACAAGTTTTTCTTAAATAGACCAATTCCAAATGACAATAATAAAAAAAAATTACAGACACGTATATGATACCTAGATTTACCATAACTATAAGATATTACGCCTACCTTTTACATATATATTAATTACAATATATACCTTTTATATTAACCTGATATACAATATATACTTTTCTTTCAATGAATGGACACATTATGTTAGGTTGTAGAAGCTGATCTACACCCACTACAATTTGGACCTCCAAAATTGATAGCTAAGGAGGTTAAGTTGTAGGACCTCCAAAATTGATAGCTAAGGAGGTTAAGTTGTAGGCTATAATGGCCCTATCAATAAGGAAGGAGATAAAGGAAGGACTAATGAGGCAAAAGATGAATGAATTGAAGAAGTTAAGGAGCGCACACTTAAGGAGCAAGGTGGGGGTATAGATGAGGATAATGACAATGATGATGGTGGTGACAGTCGCGCTTAAGACCGAGACTGAGCACGAGTAGCAAGGTAAGGGCAAGAGCCAGTTTAGAGGCAAGAGCCAGTTTAGAATAACCTTGGAGTCATTGGGTTGATGGGGTAATACCAGACTCATTCCAGAATTCAAGGTAACCATGCTTTAGATGGCTTTTGAACCTATACTAGCTTTATCATGTATATTTGTAGTTTTTAAATTTGAAAGTTAATATGGAACTCATTGTCGTGTACACCCAGAATCAATACGATTTATTTTTATCATGGACATTAAATGTTATTCAAAATTTTGGCCATTTTTACTTTGTTGCCTTCATTTTTGGACCTCGAATGAATATGACTAATATTTTTGCTTTTATTTTTATGTTATTCAAAGTTTTGGCCATTTTCTATTTTTTGACGCCTTTTAAGATGTAACTATCCAGGATCATTGGGTGATGTAACTATCCAGAATCATCGGTGGTACTTGCTGGCGAAAAATAAATTTTGTTTCCACATAAAAGACGGTCTCAAAAAACATCAACTAAACAATGAAAATGATTTAAAGATCAAAACACAGCAAAATCGATAAAGGGATCGGGAGGATTTGTTAGAACCTCCTGCAACCACTTCGTTTCCCTCTCTTCCTTGCACCTCTTCTCCTCCTCTCCCTTCACATGGATGGAGGCCCCCACCACTAATCCCACTAAATCTATTGCCGTCTCCTCGCCTCCCATCTCAGTATCGAAATCTACATGAATCGGAATCCATGGTGGTCGGCATACATCGAGAAGCGAGTGCCAATCGACTCCCCTGAAGAACTGGTGTCCCTTAATTCTCTCCAGTCCGATCCGTTTGTCTCTCTTGTTTTCCAACAGACGCCGTATCAGATCCCTCAATGGCGTCTCAGTTCCTGTCAGGTCGGGTTGCTGAGTAAGAATCCGGCGGAAAGTGTCCTCCCTGTTGTGCCCCTTGAAAGGTGTCCTGCCATACAGCATTTCGTAGAGGACCACACCCAAGCTCCACCAGTCTGCCCCAAAATCGTGCCCGCTTCCATTCACCACTTCCGGCGCCACATACTCTGCAGTACCCACAAACGAGTTTGCTCGCTTGAAATAACCACCACTACTACCGGCTGATGAAGAGGAAGAGGAAGACGGATACTCATCTTCATGTTCCTGTATCGGCCTGCTACCACATAACGCCGCAGATCCAAGAAAACCAAATTTCAGTTTTCGCCTTTTGCTTCTTCTTCTGCATATGGTGGCCATAGGGGATGGATCATTAATCTCATTTTGTGGGATCTGAGGAGTGAGAGTGATGGAGAGATCGAAATCAGTAAGCATGAGATGACCATCTTCTTGGATTAAGATGTTCTCGGGCTTTAGGTCCCTATACACAATGCCTAAGCCATGAAGATACTCCAAGCAAAGAACCAACTCTGCTGCATAAAACCTGCAAACAAACACATTGGGAAATCAGATCAGATCAACGCCAACAACAAAGCAAACAGAAAAGTTTTTGAAGAATCAGGATTCGAATCAATAACCGGATGATGCGATCCGAAAACATGGATTCAGTTTGCTGCATTCTGAGAAGGTTGAGATGGCCGCCAGGACAGTAGTTGATTAGATAGCCCACCACCCTCTCTGTCACCACAATTCCCTCCAACCTTGGCAACAGAGGGTGCCTCAAAACCCTGAGGATCTCCAGTTCCGAACGCACATGTTTGATGTTCGTTTTCTCAACCACTTTCAATGCAAAATGTTGATTCCTTTCTTTGCGATGAACCAGAAAGGCGGTTCCCGTCGCGCCTCTGCCCAGCACTTTTGCCGATTTAAGATCTCCCAAGTTTACGGATTCAATGTGTTTTTCTTTTTCTTTCATGATTTTTTAGTTGAAAAGAAGAAAATTGAGAGTGGTTTCTTATAGTATTTGATTGGGTTGCTTGGGGAGAAAGGATCGTAGAAGCGGGTTGCTTGAAGGGGAAGACAATAGAGAGTCGTCGTTCCCTTATTTTAGTTGGCAAGGTCGCTGCATAACGTTATAAGGCCAGGTGTCCGGCTCTTATTGTTCATAGCGTGAGGACAAAAAGTAAAATAATTGGACTGGATTCCTCAAAAGACGCGGCTAACATGCGGCCAAGCTCTTCAATCTAGAATGTGGGGTTTCATAATAAATATATTTTTTAAATGTAATGTGATTCGAAAATATATAATTTTAATGTGGAGATCATCTATATAAAAACAAATAATTTTTTATAACTAGAAATAATAACTACATTAAAAAATATTTGGACCTCAGTTAGAATTGTTTTTAGAGAAATTATCACAAATATGCTTTAATTTTTTTCTATTTAGAAAAAAAACTTCAACTTTCATAAATCTCGTCCACACCATTTTTTTTAATTTTTTTCAATTTTGATAGTTTTGTGATCAAAATTACAACGCTCTAAATACCATAAAATATAAGCCATATTAGATGACATTTTAATTACAGTATAAAATGCTAATATATTTAGGTGGATAGAAATGCTAGTATATTTAGGTGGTATCTATCCACAACTGCTAGTATATTTAGGTGGTATCTATCCATAACTGATGGTACATCAGATAAATACCAAATCTTATCACAATCAAGAGATATGAACACTAATAATTTTATCAATATATATCTCTACATATAGATATCCATATTGATATGTATCTAAATATATATTTCTACACATACCTATCCCACCAATAACCTTATCAATATATACTCTATCGATAGCAATATGTATCGCTACATATAGATATCCTTATCAATATATTTCTCTACAAATAGTCCATATTGATATGTATCTAAATATATATCTCTAAATATAGATATCCATATTGATATGTATCTAATAGCTAATAGCTTAGGCGGCTCTAGGTTTTACGGTAAATATGTATCTCTACATGTAGATATCCATAGGGTGTGGATGAGGTTTCTGAAAGTTGGGTTTTTTTTTTTTTCTAAATAAACAAAAATTAAGGTATATTTGTAGGTTTTGCAGTATTTAACGTATGGTAATATTAATTCAAGTTAAGAAAAAGTATTTAAAATACATAATATTAAATCAAGTTAAAAAAAGGGTGTAGATGAGGTCTATGAAAGTTGGGTTTTTTTTAAAATAGAAAAAAATGAAGGTATATTTAGGATAATTTCCCTTGTTTTTAGATGGACCGCCTATTTACATTCATCTTTAAGATGAATGCTTTATACCGCATATTGTAAAAATGCAGTCCATCCCGCATGAAACAATTTTCCTTCCTCAAATACGAATTGCCTTCTTGCATACCAATTTCATAACACGATTCACCAACCATAAAATCATCCTAGGTTTAAAAAATGCTTATTCTAATAAGAACCGACCAATCTAAATTGAGGATTGTCGAGAACTAGCCTGTGCACCGGTCACATGGTCGGGACCAATCTCTAAGTGACCATACCAGCACACCCCTTTTTGATAGAAGTTCTAATTAAAAAAAATTTATGGAAACCCCTCTTGACTCTACTTTTTAAGCATTCCCTGATACTTTTTAAACCACAATTTTAACTTCAAAAATACATTTTCTATATGTTGATATATGCACGAGTTTCTCTAGCCAGGTCTGGCAGAATTTGTGTTGGATCGGCTTCTGGCGCAAAATTATGTTGGTTCGACACAAAAATGCGTTAGATCAGCACCAAAAGTTTGATACAGAATATATGTCGGAGCGTCACGTGACAAAAAATAGAGTATTTTAGTAATAAAAAAATCAACTTTTGTACTTGGATGAGTGTTGTTAAAAAACCTATTGGAGTAAAAAATTTTGCGGGATTGGATGCTCAGAAAGTACAAATTGTTTTCTAAAAAGTACAAATTGTGGAGTATATATAAATTTTCCTTTATTTAAGATACATTTAGATTTTTTAATTTTTTTTATTTACGGAGCCTACCATTGGGTTCCATGAGCTTCCACGTAAGCGTGACTCATTTTTAAAGACTTTGGGCGCGCGTTTTTGGCGTACCACCGATTGGAATATGCAAACAAGTAAGCCAAAGCAACCACAAGCTTGGCTTTGAGAGGGGTTTAACTCCCCATCTTTTAAAAGGGCATGATTCCTTTCTATGGCTCGAGAAACTCAAAAAATAATGGTAAGTTATGAAGAAAAGTCTCTCTCTCTTTGACCCAATCTTTTTCAATATTTTTTCCAGTTAATTTCTTTATTTAAAACACGTTCCTATACATTAAGATAAATATGGAACATTCCCAAGAACAAGTTAGGAACTATGTTACTACTTTAAATATTTTTTAAAAAATAAAGAGTACGATATTATCAAGAAGAAAATGGTCCAACTCTGAAAAAAAAAAGTTTTGAGCTAAATTAATGGAGAGCAGGTGAGGTCGGCATATTCAACTATATAATATTATATAAATTAAGTACCAATGAGAATAAATACAACATCTCTAAAGAAATAAATTAACTGCGACACCTCCAGAGAAATTAAATGACACCTCAGAGAGAAAACATTAATAAAAATGAATGTAAATAAACAATTAATTCAATAAGCTAATAATGAGCAAGCAACCCCCAATTTTTCATGTGTAAGTAAGCATTGAGATTACAAAGCACCAAATAAAAAAAAAAAAAGTAAAAAAAAAGAGTCAAATTGTATTTTAAACTCCATTTGGATTATGAAATGAATGTTATTGCCAACAAATACTCATATATGAAACAAGTTTTCAATATTCTCAGTATTTATGTATTTTCGGTAATATAGTGAAAATCCATTATGCACTACACCCCCTTTTTTTTGTGAACCTAAAAAACAAGGTCATAACGAAATTTTCATTATTTTTTAAATTTTCTTAAGGAAAAGTCATGCCAATTCATTGATCCACTGATCTAAATTGCCAAACTGTCAATCTAGACTGGTTTTGAGATCGGTGATCTAGGTCACTGATTTGTTTTTATAAACATTGGTAGTAACTAAAGAATACATGAATAAAAGAATGACAAAATTTCGTATAATACCCTACTTCCTCATATTATTTCATGGTAGACCCTCTTTCCGTTTTTCTTTCAATCTGCATAAGAAAACCCCTAAAGATTTCATCATACCCCCTCATCTCTTATCTCCCTCTTTTATTGACTTTTGATCATAAAATTTAGCCCCAACTAATTTTTTTATAGCATTTCAACCCAAAAACGTTTTTAATGTGTGGAAAGGGAAAAAGAGCTTTAAAAAAGTTTTTGGGATGAAATGGTATAAAAAGATTTGTTGGGGTTAATTTTTATGATCAAAAGTCAATAAAAGAGGGAGATAAGAGATGAGGGCGTACGGTGAAGTCCTTAGAGATTTTCTTATGCCGCTTGAAAGAAAAAAGGAAAAAGGGTTCATGAAATAATATGAGGAATTAGGGTTCTATACGAAATTTTCCCTAAAAGAATTGCGTCTATAGCGTGCTTTAGAGTACACAGGATGTTCATTGCATCTGGTAAAAGATTCAATTAAGAGTATATTTTCGATCTAAAATTTTGGGGTCCTTTTCTTATTATCAAGGGAGAATTTTTTAAAATCAAAATTGTAAATTTCAATTTCAAAACTACTTGGATTCGACTACCTAAATATTGCTAAAAAATTGGTTGGGTTAAAATGGTGGCAGGAATGAAAGAAAATAGCTCAAAGACCTTCCTATTTTCGGGCACGCAAGAGCACTTTCTCAAGATGATATTTATCCCACTTCAATATTGTAATCAATGTGCATAAGAAGGGGAGTTTGTCTTTGATATACAGAAAAAAAAAGGTTATCTTTCCGCACTTTTAAGTTCTATGTACCGAAACCAAAAGCCTATTATGTAGAGCACCAGAGTCCTGTATTTTAGAGATAGAAAGAGAGAAAAATGGGTAGAGAGTGATGGATAAGTGATATGTTGTGCTCTTTGAAAATTCATAGAGAGAAGATGGTGTGAGAACATGTATCTCTATGGGGAGAAAGAACCCCTTTTATAGAGTGCGGCCTTGTGGCTTGAATGGGTAGGGACCATTGGATTTCCCATACGTGCCACACTTATAAAAAGATATCAAGCTTCGAGGCTGATGCACACATGTGTTCAGCAAGGGGCGCCTCATGTGCCTCTTTGAGTCTGCTATGCTCACAAAAAGATATCGAGCCTCAAGCTAGACCCGTGCTCAGGCAAGGGCTACTCATGATACGTGTAAAGATATCAAGAGCTTTGAGCCCAAATGCATACAGTGTTCAACAAGGGGCACCTCATGTGTCCCTATGAGTCTGAAACTCTCACAAAAAGATATTGAGCCTCGGGCTCAAACCGTGCTCAGGCGAGGGCCACCTCATGAAACGTGTGCCATCAAGCGCCCTTGCACCAACACCTCACCCATGCGCATGCTTGTGCATTGTCAACACACGCTTCACATACTCCGCACATGCACCATTAGTCTTACCTTCATTCTAAGAGTATAAACTATGAGAATGCCCAGACTTAAATACCACTCAATCCACACTGTCCTCTTCAATGTGGGACTAAAAACCCACATCTTTCTCTTTCTTCAAACTACACAAATCACTATGTTATTTTGAAATACACATAAGTATTTTTACACAACTAAAAGTACTAATATTTCCTTTACTATTTCAAAATAACAAAAAAAAAATTGGAACCATATTATATCCATACCATGAAGGTATCTTTGTTAGGGTTATGTGGCCATTTAAACGCCTAATGAGAGTATGAGCTGAAATTATTATAGAGAAATGTTGGCTTTAGTAGGAGAGTGGTGCATATTAGAATGTGAGTTGTTATTAATGCCGAGACTTGTATGAGCTTTGACTAGCTATAGCTCAGGGTAATGTCTAAAACTTGTAGCCTTGGGAATTTGTGCATAACCGATTAGGTTCTTCAATGTGGGTTATCACTTGATGAAGTCGAAGTTGTATCCAGGGCGGTTGGCCAGGGGACTGAATGTATGTTATGGTTAGCC